TAGTAAAGCATTGTTCAGTGAAAGCGATCTCGGGCCCAAACCTGGCGTGCGCAAGCCTGGCAGATGACGGCCGCGACGCCCTCTCGAGGACCGAACACGGCCCATTCGCTGATGGACGCGTCAGGGTAGGAAGTCTGTCCACCCCCGAACATCCGTTTGGGAACACGAGGCCCTCCGCCAGCCAGAGCACTCCAAACCGTGAGATCACTCGAGGGCCCCCCCACCCCCCAACAGGAGGCACAAAAGGAGCACTGCGGCGCCCTGCCCCGCACCGGCCTCGGTGTTATACCTCGGCCCGACCGTGCACAGTTGACCCGTATCTCAAGGCTGCGCTGTAGAGGTGCAAAGGCATTGGAAGGCATCGGAAGGCATTGGAAGGCCGTTCAGGTGCAAGGGCATTGGAAGGCATTGGAAGGGCACTGGAAGGGCGGGGCGTGGCCAACGAGAGAGGCCAAGGATGGGCCGAGGAGGCAAGAGCGCAAGGGCACCCTCGGGAAGGCTGCCCATCCTTGCTGTGCGGGTTGACTGCAACGGAGGCGGTCATCGGCTGTGGTCGCGCATCCGGGCACCGTGCAGGAGCCCGAGAGCTAGGGCTCCCAACTTCGCGCTTCGCGCTGCGCGAAGCGCGAATAACTTCGCGCTCTCGCGCCGCCCTCCCAAAGGGAGAAAAGGAGGACGAGGAGGAGGGGGGAGAAGGAACGAGGACCGCGAAGCGCGAAGCGCGAATAACTTCGCGCCCTTGAGGGAGCCCTTGGAGAGAGTCCAGCTCCCAGCCCGATGGCCCGCAGAACCGCCCTCGTGGCTCCCGCCACGTCCTGGCCCCCTCTGGCGCCCGAGCTGGAGCGCCCGGCAGGCTGGGCGGGGGCCGAGAGGAGGGGGCAGCACACTTGGCATGAAGAATTCCACCCGCCCTCTGGGCGTGAGTGGTCTAGAGCGTTCGGGAAAGACCGGGCTTGGGAGCCTCAGGGATCGATCGCTCGGGGAAGGATCAGGATCGACAAATCCCGCCACCCCTTCGAAGCGTGGGTGGCGTAGAGCGGTTGCTCTTCCATCTTTCCCTCTCCTTCGGGGAGGGGCTGATCACTGTTCCCTATTAATGAGCACCCCTTCTCCCAGGCGACCGGCAGCCAACCAGGACCAGTGAGAGTCCCCCCCCACACCATCCTTGTCAAAGCGCCATGTGCGATCCGCTTTGAGGCAAAATCTTGAGTCATGATCGAAGGGGGGGGGGCGAGACCACTTTCTACTGTTTTGTCCCAACCATCCAGTGGTGTTGGGTCCTCGTCTTGAAGAGACAGCGCCCCGCGTCCACTCCCTCCTTCCTTCTTCCACCTCCTTACTCACATAGCTGCCCATGCTCTTCGCATGTCCACCATTTCGGCCCATCCCTTACACGTTTCGTGGCCCCATAGGCAGCTCCACCGAAGGCCCCAGTGGAAGGGTCCGCATGCGTCCCCCCAGCCCATTTCGGCACACCTCTCGAGGATCGTGGCCTCATAGGGAGCTCCACCGAAGGTCCCAGTGGCAGGCTCCGCATGCATCCCCCGCCAATTTCGGCACACCTCTCACGAGGACCGTGGCCAACTAGAGAGCTCCATCGATGGTCCCAATGGCAGGGTCCTCATGCGTTCCCCCCGCCCATTTCGGCACACCCCTCACGAGGGTCGTGCCCCCATAGGAAGCCCCACCGAAAGCGGTACCCACGACGCGGTTCTCACAACTACATACGGCTGGGCCCTTCGTCATGATAATGTGAGAGGGACGTCGGAGGTGCCCGCATGTTGCCTGCTGCGCGCGGGGCCAGCAACCTTGCCAACCAACATGCGAACTGCACTGCGAGGCAAATCCTGGATCATGCGCGGGCACATTGCGATCACCGTGCATTGGTTCTTGACTGGGACGGCGGGGGTGCTGGCATATTGCCTGCTGCGCGCAGGCCAACCAACCGCCATGATGGCCACCCCGTCGCGATTGCGCACTGCTGTTCGACAAGGGTGGTGGGGGCCGACACGCTTCCAGATGTGCACTGCCACGTGCGCAGGCGCACCTGGCACGCTCTGCGCGTGCCCTGTTGCGCACCTGGCACGGCTGGAGCATGCGGCACACATGGCGCAAATGGATCACGTTGCGCATCTGGCGCACCAGGCGTCACAGCAAGCTTGGGCCAAAGGGGCGCCTGGCATACCTTGTGCGCATGGCACGGTTGGCACCCATGGCGCACTGCGCCCCCCGTGTTGCGCACCTGGTCTCTTGTGGTTCTCATTAGCTGCCCATCCGAAGAATACTGCTGAACACGCTGCGGCTCGGGTGCTACTTTTTTGTTGGGAGGGCGGGCGGGAGTGAGCGAGACGGCTTGCGGGCGGGGGAGGATGTCTTGACCCTCCCCTCCCCCGCCCACTGGCTTTGGAGAGGGGGGGGTCGCGGCCAGCTAGAGCGTCCAGGGTCGCCTCGGCGAGGAAACCCAGAGCATTGATGCTATAACCATTGGTTTGGCAATGTGTTTGCCTCCCGGGGGTCAATATCATTTCTAATCGAATGTGCTGTTGATCTCGCCCCTCTGTTTAAAACTGTATGTTTCCAACCATCCTGTGGTGTTGGGCCCTCGTTTTCAAGAGACAGCGCCCCGCGTTATCATTCCTTCCTCCTCCCGTCCTCCCTCCTCCCATCACCATTCCCATCGTCGTAATCATCATCATTATCATCGCTATCGTCATCGCCATCGCCATCGTCATCATCATCATCATCATCATCATCATCATCATCATCATCATCGTCATCGTCATCGTCATCGTCATCATCATCATCATCATCATCATCATCATCATCGTCATCGTCATCGTCATCGTCATCATCAGCATCAGCATCATCATCGTCATCGTCATCGTCATCATCATCATCATCAGACTCATCATCTCATCATCATCATCATCGTCGTCATCAGCATCATCATCAGCATCATCATCGTCATCGTCAGCATCAGCATCAGCATCATCATCAGCATCATCATCATCATCAACATCATCATCATCCTCATCATCCTCATCATCCTCATCATCCTCATCCCCATCCTCATCCTCATCCTCATCCTCATCCTCATCCTCATCCTCATCATCATCATCATCATCATCAGCAGCAGCAGCAGCAGCATCATCATCATCATCATCATCATCATCATCATCATCATCATCATCATATTCGTGTGATCAATCTCCTCCAAGGTGGCCCCAAAATGGCCTCCAGGGCTCCCAAGGGCGCCCCAAGACGGCCCCGAGGGGTGCCCAGAGGCTCCCAGGAGGCCCCCAGGAGGCCCCCACAGAGGCTCCCAAGAGGACCCGCAGGACGCCCGAGAAGGCCTCCCAAAGTCACCCCAGACGCCCCAAGAGTCTTTGGTTAGGTCGGGCAAGTCCCCCTACAGGCAGATTTTGGATGAACCATTCGTAAAAGTATAAAAACACCAAACTGGTATGGACACAATGTTTCCCCAGATTATTTGTTTTGAAATATTTTTGAATATTCGTTCTGTAGAGGGACAGGCCCGACTTAAGGCTGTGGCGAGAAGGACGGCATCACTGATTGTACTAAGGTTGTGGCTACATGTTGGCCCCCATGGGGGTGGGGACGCTACTTCAGCATTCGGGGGCCCCCCCCTCTCTTTTGATTGATCTCCCCCAAGATGGCCCCCGAGGCCCCAAGAGGCCGCCAAGAGGCCCACAATAGGCTCCCAAGAGATTCCCAGAGGCCCCACAGAGGCACCCAAGACGCCCCCAAAATGCCTCAGCGAGAAGGCCAACAGACCGCATGCTACTAGGTTTTTGGCCACGGGTTGGCCTCCTTGGGGGCGACCCTACTGTAGTACGGCCCCATCCTTTGATAGATCTCCTCCAAGATGGCCCAAAGTTGGCCCCCGAGGCTCCCAAGGGTGCCTCAAGACGGCCTCAAGAGGTGCCCAAGAGGCCCCAAGAGACCCCCAAGAGCCCCAAAGAAGCACCAGGAAGCTCCCCAGAGGCACCCAAGAGGCCCCCGGGACTGCCTGCCAAGGAACCCCCAAGATACCCCCAGAGGACTCCAAGAACCTGTCGAAAGAAATCCGAAGAGACTCCGAGAGGCATCTAAGAGGCTTCTGGCCTTTCTGCTCGCCCTCCTTCTCCTCCTCCTCCTCTTCCTCATCCTCCTGCTCCTCCTCCTCCTTCCTCCTCCCTCCTTCCTCCTTCCCCTCTCCCTCCTCCTCCGCCTCCTCCCTGCTCAATCCTCATCCTTCTCCTCCTGCTCCTCCTACTCCTCCTCCTCATCCTCGTTTTGGGGTAAAACGTCTTACGCAACCTTTTATTCCACTGCATGCTCCGGCACATCCCTGATCAAAGCAACTTGTTTGGGCATCGTCTCTGGATGAACTGGTGGCGTTCCGCGAATCCTCTGGAATAAACTGTTGGAGGTCCGCGCGGATTTCTCGGATCAGCGCTGGACCCTCCTCCGTGGCGCGCGGAGCGTGCCAAGAGCGGAGCCGCAGGCGCCGTCAGGGGAGCCCAGGCGCCGATCCAAGAAATCCGCTCGGAGCCCCGAAAGTTTATGCTGAATGCAAGGTTTCTGCTCCGAGTGATTCGGGCGGGCGGAAGCATTAGGCCTCCTAGATGTGGTCGGAGCAAGTGGGGTCGGGGGATCGCGCCGCATCGCCGATACATCGGCGATGCATCTGCGATGTTCGGAGATGATTCGGCGAACCACCAGCGATACATCGTCGACGTGGGCGATGCATCAGCGACATCGACGTGAAGCACACCGGGCTCCACATCGAGCCACATCGGCGATGCATCGGCGATGCGGCGCCATCCTCCGACCCCGTCTGCTCCGACCCCATCTGGGAGGCCTAGGCGCATGGTCGATTGCCCGCGCAGGCGCGTGTAGCCAGGCGGGGGGTGCTCGAATCTAAATCCGCTGGCGCGCGCACCTCATCCTCCTGCTCCCCCTCCCCCGCCTTCTGCCGCGCCCCCCCCCCGGGTGACGTCGCCGCAGCATTGGCGTCGAGGGTGTAAACAAAGTGCATGAAGTCGGAGAGAACCTCGCGCGCGCACAGGAGGAGAGCGACGACCGTCAGATCCGGGCGTCGTGCACAGAATTGTCAGCTGCTCTGTTTGAGACGGATCGGGCTTGCGACCCTCAGGGATCGAACGCTCAGTGAACATGCCGGATCGACTAATCCACCGTCCCTTTAGGGAGTGAGTAGTTTAGAGGGTTTTCTCTTCCATCTTCCCTCTTCCCCTTCGGGGAGGGGTTTACCCCTCCCCCTACCCCCTCCCCTATTGTTTCTGGCCGCGGCGAGAAGGCCACCATCATTGATTTTACACAGGCGTTGGCCACCTCTTGGCCTCCTGGGGGGTGCAACACTAAATGGAACCTCCAACGTCTTTGATAGATCTCCTCCGAGATGGCCCAATGATGGTCCCCGGAACTGGCAAGGGTGCCCTAAGAGGGCCCCAAGAAGCCTCCCAAGAGATTCCTAAGAGGCCCCCCAGATGCACCCGAGGCGCCGCAAGAGGCCTCGGCGAAAATGCCAAAACCATTGAGTTTAGCACAAAAAGGTTCTGGTCATATGTTGGCCTCGTGGGGGAACCTGATGCATGAGCCCACCTCCTTTGATCGATCCAAGATGCCCCCAAAAGGCTCCCAAGAGACCCCCAAGAAACCCCACACAAGCATCCATAACACCTCTGCACTGCCCAGAGACCCCCAAACCGCACCAGAAGACTCCAAGAACATCTCGGAAGAAATCCGAAGAGACTCCGAGAGGCATCAAAGAGGCCGCTGACCTTTCTGCTCGCCCTCCTCCTCCTCCTCCTCCTCATCCTCCTCCTGCTCCTGCTCCTCCTCCTGTTCCTCATCCGCCTATTCCTCTTCCTTCCTCCTCCCTCCTCCCTCCTTCCCCTCCCTACTCCCCCTCCTCCTCCTCCTCCTCCTCCTCCTCCACCCTGTCCTCATGATCCTCCTCCATCCTCCCTCATGGGGTATGACGTCATACTCAGCCCTTTCGATTCCACTGCATGATCCTCCGCATCCCTGGTCAAAGCAACTTGTCTGGGCATCGTTTCCGATTGGGCTGGTGCTTGGTGCGACTGTTTGGAACCGTGCGTCCTCTGGGGGAGACTCCACCTGCTCGAAACAGGCGCCAAAAACAGCCAGTATCTACTTCACGGTGGGGGGGGAGGGGGGGGCGAGGTCTGCGCCGATCGGCGAAACAATGAATCAGAAAACGATCACATGGCAATTTTCACTGCACCTATTCGTCGCGTGACGTCAGACATTGGCGGAATACTGTGAGGTGTCAGCGCACGAGGTCGGAATGCGACGGAGCGGTCGTTGAAGAGACGCGGTCGGTACAGAGCAGTGGTGGGCAAGTAGAGTAAACGAGAAAGAGAGCGGAAGAAAGAAGGGTGGGATGTAGAGAGAACGCGAGATTACCCACAGCGGGAGAGATCGACATATGGCCATGCACACACATATATGTATATATATACATATATAATACGCTATCTATACACACATGTCTGCTAAAGCTACGCGAACACATCGCGCGTAGGTCTTAATCTGCTCTGGGGAGCCTTCTGGAGCGCACATGATAGTAATGTGAAGAGACCTCGAAAACCACACGGAGCCCCACTGAGCGGCTGCATTCAGGCGGTAGGGGCAATGGCTGATCCTGGCCACGCCTACAGTTCGCAGGCCCAACAACAACCATGTGAACCAACGCTCTGGTGAGCAGGCTGTGGTTTCAATGAAAAGGGGGCAATCTTGGAACCTGGGATCGTTTCCGCGATGTCTCAAGCGACTGGGCCCTCTGAAATCAATCGAGGTCGAATGGAGTAGACTCGGAGGAATCGAACCGAGC